CCATGCAGCTGCAGACAGCAGTGGGCCCTGGCACAGAGGGACCTACTGTCCACTTGCCCTGTGGAAAAGGCCCTAGGGAGGAATCTTGCCCAATAATACTGAGGGAAACTGACAGTCGGGAAGGGAGCAGTAGTGCAAATAAAAAGGAAGGCCTTTAAGTATGTTCTTGCAGCTGCCGTGAAAGTCTCTAGAGTCTGAAATGACAGCCTGTGCAGCTTCTACTTCCTACAAGAGCTTCAGATACTATTAAAAGATATCGCTGCAATTTAGAAAACAAAACTAAATACGAAATAGCTCCACCTTTCAATTACAGTCCTCTGCTTAAAAATTCTAAATGTTCAAGAACAGGAAACTTGCTTTTACCAAGAATACAAACTGCAGGGGAAACATTCTTTCAGTGAACAAGACTGCTAACTACCTACTGCGTGTAAGACTGGGAGTAAGAGGAGTATTCATTTTAAAATGAATGTTGCCTAACTAAAGGCTCATACCTACACTGGCACTCTTACACTGTTCCCCCACGGTATTAAGAATTATCTTTTTAAAATGCAAGCTTGATCGTCCCACTCCCCTGATAAAATCTCTTCTGGGCTTCATGGTGTCTTCTAAAAACTGAAAAATCATTAAAATGGCTTACAAGGCTCTGAGGCCCTCAACACCTATAGCCTCATCTCTGCCATCGATCTCTACATTCCAACTACATAGGCCTTTTCTTAGGTCTTCGAGTAGAACAAGCCCCCCCCCCTTTTTTTAAAGATTGATTTATTTATTCATACAAGCACTGGGTACAGTCAGAAGCGCGGGAGGGTGAGAGAATTCACCAGAGCCAGAGCGGGGAGCAGAACAGGCAGACTGACGAAGTACATTGCTGAGGGGAGCAGCGGGTGGCAGGAGAGGTCTGTGCGCCATGTGGGACCCTCGCGGGCGGCAGCCCTCGTTGCGGGCAGCCTAGCAACCCAGTGCTCAACTGCTGTGCTACCGGGGAGGCCCAAACAAGCCCCTTTAACATATTCTCTCGCCATCACTCTCTCCATCTCATGGCCCGACTAACTACCACCTTCTTTCATGTCCAGAGTAAAACGTCACTTCCACAGGGAAACTTTTCTTGACTTGTCCCCAACAACTGATGCCCATATTGTGTGATCTCAGGGCAACCTGTATTTTTGCCTTCAAAGCTCTTAACACAAATGTAATGATTCTGTGTAACATTATAAAAGTCTGTCGAGACCACAAACTCCTTGGAAACAGAACATCTGTTGTTGAGTATTCACTCATTCCCTACGACTACACTGTGCCTAGCACATATTAGGCCCCCAATAAATAAACTTAATAAAGAAATATAAAAATTGTACAAAACTCTATAGGGAAAATAGGCTTCTAGAAACTGTGTAGTCTATCAGAGAAATAAAAGCCACACACCTAGGAACTGACCACAACAGTCTCAACGAATTGCTAGTGATGACTTCCCACAAATAAGTTAGATTTTTCACGAACTCTTGAACAGATTTTTTATATAACAAAAGTAATGTAAGTCATGGTGGGGGAGGGTGCCCTAACAGCTCATCTGGGCATAACATGAAAGATCTTACTTAGTCTTGTCGCTGTCCTTTGTTCCCCCTGCTCTGGGTACTTTGTGTTCTCTCAGGGCTTTTCTGGGCATTAATATTTTTTTCAAATGGGAGCCTCCCTGGTGGTGCAAGGGGTTAAGACGCAACCTATGAAGCTGTCCGCAGCCACGGCAGCACAAGTTCCATTCTGGGCCAGGGAGCTACCCACATGGCGCAGTGGACCTCTCCTGTCTCGCCTGCTGCTCCCCTCAGCAGTGTATTTCAGTGGAGACGCCTGTTCTGCTCCCTGCTCTGTCTCTGGTGAATCCTCCCTCACACACACCCCTCCACACACACCTCTGTCCTGTACCGCAGATCTTGTACACATAAATAAATAAAATAAATCTTTAGAAATAAATTTTTTCTTTTAAGAATTTTAAATGTTTAACTTTTAAAGTCTAGTCAGAGTTTTTTAAATGGTGAAAATTTCAGAAAAGAAAATAATTTGTGCCAGGTGACTTTTCTATAAAAAGACAAGACTGTCTTCACTCATCATGACACCCTGCCAGCCATGGGGACAGGACAAGACCTGCAGAGCTAACACTGCCCAACAGTGTGGGACTCAGAATAAATACCACATCTGATTGATGACAAGAGTTTTTGCTAATGAACTACACAGGAAAAATTACCTGGAGTTTGGACAGGCACCAAAGGGAAATGTCCTAACTCACCAAAGAAGTGATTATCATTCAGGAAACACAGCTAGGAAATGTGTTATGCCTGATTCAGACCAGAGCAGGCTTGCAAGTCAGTAAAACAGAACAGAAGATCTCAAGTCAGAAAAGTGTGTGTGTGTGTGTGTGTGTGTGTGTGTGTATTCATATGTACTTGTGTATTCTAAAGACTATGGGATATTTTTTCTTTGAAACATCTCTTTCCATTCTGAAATTGCTGACCTAAAGGTACTGCAATTCCTATATTCTATACAAATTTATTTATTTAGTGCCATACATGATCATTACTTCCACCTGTCCCGTCCCCCTAACCACTGAAAACAATTAAAAATTATTAATAATCGTAGAAGAAAGCACTGCTGCTCACCAAGTCACATGAGAGTACAAAATTTGTTAAGAACCACATAGCAGGCCTCCCTGGTGGGGCAAGGGGTTAAGCACTGCACTATGAAGCAATCCGCAGCCTCTGCAGCACGAGTTTGATCCCCAGCCCGCCAGGGAGCAACCCACAGGGCGCAGCAGACCTCTCCTGTCTCGCCCGCTGCTCCCCTCAGCAGTGTACTTCGGTCAATCTGCCTGTTCTGTTCCCCACTGTCTCTGGTGAATCCTCTCACCCCCCGCATCTCTGGCCTGTACCCCAGCTCTTGTATGCATAAATAAATAAATCTTTAAAAAAAAAACAAAAAACACATAGCACAAGAGAATAACTTTAGCAAAGGGAGAATAATAAAGTAGGTGTTCAACTAAGGTCACAGATGGTTTTCAAAAACCGAAAGGGCAATACCCAACTTAGCAATTTATGAATAAGGAGAGGCACTCTGACGATCTTTCTTTAAAAAAAAAATAAAGATTTATTTATTTTTATACAAGAGCTGGGGTACAGGTCAGAGGCACGGGAGGGTGAGAGGATTCACCAGAGACAGAGCGGGGCGCAGAACAGGCAGACTGACTGAAATACACTGCCGAGGGGAGCAGCAGGCAAGACAGGAGATGTCTGTCGGGCCATGTGGGAATCTCTCTGGCCGGCCGGGAATTGAACCCGCGCTGCAGAGGCTGCGAACAGCTCCACAGTGTAACGCTCAACCCATTGCGCCACCAGGGAGGCCCACTCTGAAGATCTTTCAACTAATCTAACTGCTGCACAAAAAAGCTGTTCCAAACATGGACACCAAAAATAGAATTTCAAGCCACCCCACCTGAACCCACCACAATTTCACAATCACTCAGTCCACTCCTACCCTCAACAAGTCAGAAGAGTTGAGGTCACCGGCAAGGTTTCCAACAGTTGTAAAATCCCAAAACTTTGGCAGAACAAGTAACTCTGTACAAATAAAATGATGCTGCTGAATCTGAAACTCGGAAAAGGGCTCAGCTCGCCAGACAGAAGGCCTGTGTTCAAATCTCAGCTCTACGACTAACTGGCTTCAACTCTAAGCAAGTTAGCTCTGGCCTGCGGTTCACTCTGATCATACTGTCGCCTACGGAAAGGATAACTGTCATTGAGCTTTTGGCAAGTCCCACCATGTATGAGCTTGTTCCTCTGCTAAGGAATGTGTGAATTCAAGGAACAATAGTGGTTGGTACTACTGTATTTAAACAACAAAAGCAGGGGTGTACCACTCTGGAGGTCGAAAGTACTTAAGAACAGTCTGTACCATTTCTTTTCCTATTCCTACCAGTGTTTATTCTAATCACCTTGGAATCCCTACAGAAAGTCTCTTCTAATCCTCTTCCCATGTAACCATAACAAAAGCGACATAATTCTGGTTTTAGTTTTGAGAATATGACATGTCATGTGAGGTTAATATATCCTGATGTTTAGTAATACGAAAGGCCAAGTTTTTTCTCATTGGATAGTTCAAAATGCTATTAATTCTAAATGATTTATGGGACACCAAAGGCATTTCCTTTGGTCAAGAACAATTTTGGAAATCTAATTATTGTAAGGAATACTGAATCTTTTTTAATTAATAGAAAACATGTTTGCAGGCAGCTTCTGCATAGAGCCATATAACAAGCCACAAATTGTGAACCCTGGTTTCAGTTCTTACCCTCCATCACTCTTGTGTGTTTTATCCCTGCCCTCTGAAAACATGTACTGGAGGGCATGAGAGTTTGCAGCCCTAGGGAAGTGGAAATCAGAGTCCTAGCTCTGCCACTCACCCCCTGTGAGGCTCTGGCAAGTCAGGTGGAAGTGAGGTGGTTTCTACCATAAATGGTGAAGAGGGTGAGTTTGTACCGTTCACGGGTTCAAAACCTAGTTCCAGCAAATGTTACTGTGCCTTCTTAGACAAATCAAACAAAAATAAAGACCCGGTTTCCTCATCTGTAGGGAACAAAAAGAGAGAACTGGGAGGAAAAAATACCCACTCCTGAGAATGTGTGAAGCTTAAATGAAATAACCCACACAAAAGGCCAAGGACAGTAAATGACATCATTAGCGCTTCAGACAAAGTAGCTATTACTACTACTGCCCACCTCACAGGGTTGTGGCTAGAATGGAATGAGATGTAAGAGTAAATAAAGCATAATACAAATTACAAAATAAAAACAGGACTAATTGTGCCAGAAACAAAAAGTTGCCCCGACCCCTTAAAAAGTGTAATTATCCCAGCCACGTGGAGAAGCCTCCACTTACTAATATCCACACCATATATATATATGTACACACACACACACACACACAAAACACTAGGTCTAATTTTGCAAAACCACTGACCTTGAAGTCTTCTTCACCATTAACAGAGGTAGACCAAGAACACACACTCATCTAAGAGGAAAGGAAATACAAAAGGACCCACTGTCCCATTACAGAAAGTCTCGTTACTCAAAAGGTGTTTCTTCCTGACTGAAATCTGTGATTTTTCACAACCGGGGGGGGGGTGGACAGGATGACATCAAGGTCTTAAAGCCTGCGGGCTGAGGTAATCGCTATGGAGGGGGATCCACGGGGCACACGAGGGACAGCTGCGGAGGAAACCAGGGAGGCTGCATAAAGGAAAAGGCTGCAGCAACCCCGCACACCTCTCTGCCACCGGCAATCACAGTCCTCACACCGCTATTTTGGGCCCAAGACCCTTCCCTCCCCAGCCTCCCACGTGTGCCCGGAGCAGCTGTTTCTCCAGCTAAGAGCTCGGGATCCGAAGCCGCGAATCCCGGCCTGCTTCTGCCTCGATCTGGGTGACCTTGCGTCAGCCCCTTCCCTTCTCTGGACCTGCTTCTCCATGTGCACCGAACACAGCCAGTCAGACAAGCCCCCACGTCCCGTCCAGTAAGTGAAAAGTCGTCAGGAGGCGATTTCCCCTCAAGCAGGGAGTCCCACCCCCACGCCGGGGCCACATTCCACCCGCGGCGCGATGCGGGTGCCCCTCGGTGCGGCCGAAAGAAGGCGGCCCGCGAGCAGCGCAGGCTTCCGCAAGAGTTGGTGTCTCGAGGGGCCTGCCTGTCGCAACCACTGTGCGGACCCGCCGCTGCCCCGCCCGCGCCGCCGCCCGCTCCGGGCTCAGGAAGGCCGGGCCTGCGCCTACGCGAGGCCCCCGGCTGAGGCCTAGAGGCCGCGCGGCCCGCCCCCCGCGCCCGCCAGCCCGGCGCCCGGCCCCTCAGAGCCCCTCCCGGCCCTCTGCCCCGGCCTCGGCAGCCCTCGGCGCGTCGGGTCGGCCGCGGGGTTGGCCCCACACACTCACCGTAAATGGGCCGGAGGCGCCTGTCGTTAGGGTCCTGCACATGGCCCCGCGTCGCCATGATGACAAGCGCAGAACCGCAGTGCGCACGCGCGGGGCCGGCCCCGGGGAAGGGGTTGTTAAAGGGCCAGCACCGATCTCGCTCGTCTATCGCGATAGTCGCGCGACGGCCTCGAACGCGCCTGCGCAGACAGGGAAGCCCACCCCGCCCCCCTCCGCCCCCCTCCGCCCCCCCCCCCCCCCCCCCGCCAGCGGCCGCCTCTTCAATGGGAACTTCCCCGGCCCTGTGCTGAGGGAGGCGGCCTGGCTGGTGGAGGCGGCCGGCGCTGCTGAGAGCGCTTCTGAGTCACCCGCAGGAAGGGAGGGGAGAAACTTGGTCAAAGTTAGGGCTCGGCTGCTCCCGCCTGGCCTCGTGGCCGCTCGTCGTGCAGGACCCGGCTCTGAGTGTGGAGGGAGTCAGACCTGCCCCGGGAATGACCAGGGGAACTGGGGAAAAGGGGACTGATCGGCAGTAACAGTTTGCCAGCAAGTCCTAGAACCCTTCACCCCTCTCCCAGGACCCAGCCAACTCAGAGTCATACTAGATTAATAGTAAGCAAAGTCAATTTTTTGGTAATTAAATCGCTTATAAAGCTGTGCCCAGACACGTGCAAGCTCTTTAAATATTAATGAACAGCCATAGCAGTCCTAATAACACCCTGGATGGTAAATATCTTTTTTTTTTTTAACCCGTGGATTTAGCCATGTAACACTTGTTTTGAGCTCCTGTTAGGTGGCATGCTCTACTTTAGGCACAGAGGCTGTATCAACAAATAAAATAGACAAAGCGTTCCTGGTGCTTCACCTGTGTGGGAGACAAGGAAGTAAAACAGCTCGTATATTAGATGGTGATAAATGCTATTGAGAAAGAACAGGGACAGGGAAGTGGAGGAGGAAAGCACCTTTATGTGGAGAACAGTGGGAGAGGGAGGAGCCAGGCAGGTGACTGAGTCAGAACCTGAGGTCACACCTGTCATTCAAACCCAGGTCTTCCTCTGTAGGGAACAAGAGCCACCCCCTCCCCTACTTCCTCATGCCCAGAACAGTGTCCCCAAATATCAGCCTGGCCCAACTGGGGTTGACTCCTGCTGAAATTCTGTTCCTCTCCACTTCTGGGCCCTCCAGGGTCCAAGAAAATGGTTCTTCAACAACGGACATCAGAATCCTTTGGGGGAACCTGAAAAACAAGAGTTTTCCTGGATTCTACCCCCATAGGTTCTGATTCAATCCAGAGATCATTATTTAACAAATACTAAGTAAGGAATATAGATCAAAAGGCTTTAGAACCCACCACAATAGCAAGTTAGCAGTTATTATTAAAATTTTATTCATTTTTGTTTGTTTTTTAATTTTACCATTAAAATTTTAAATATATGTACTTGGAAAAAAATCTGTAATTACAATAATAACAATAGTAACAGCATGCATTTATTGCCAGAAACTGTGCTAAGCTCTTTCACATGCGTCATCTCACTTCATACTCACAAACTGGTAGAATGAGAATTTTGAAGCATAGAGAAATTATTTGCCCAAAATCACACAGTAATCTGTGGCAAAGTTTAGGGGGCGGAGTGGGAGGGGGAGTCTCACCCCAAAATCCACTGTCTCAGCAACAACACCAAAGTATATGCTACCTTTTAGGAGGGCAGGTATATTCTCTTCTTACTTATATGCACAAGCACTCATTGATTTGTTTACAATGAGTATTGTAAATTTATGTCAAAGCTTTTGATCAAAGTAAAATCCTTTTATTCCAGGAAGACAATCAGCAGACTGCACAAAAGTATAAAATAGAAAGTGCTTCTTAACAGCCCTAAGATCTTAACTGCCTATCATTAGGAACTCATGAAACAAATTATGATACACCGTGAAGTGGAAAAAGTCAATCATTAAAATTAATGAAGTAGGGCCTCCCCGTTGGCGCAGCGGTTGAGCGCTGGGTTGCGAAGCTGCCCGCAGCCTCTGCGGCGCCGGTTGGAGCCCCGGCTGCTCCGCGGCCACCAGAGGAGGGTCCCACATGGCGCACAGACCTCTCCTGCCACCCGCTGCTCCCCTCAGCAGTGTACTTCGGTCCTTCTGCCTGCTCTGCTCCCCGCTCTGGCTCTGGTGAATTCTCTCACCCTCCCACGCTTCTGACTGTACCCAGTGCATGTATAAACAAAGCAAACCAACAAACAAACAAATAAATACATAAATAAAACATGTCTCTATTTTAAAAAAAATTAATGAAGTAGAACTTCCTTTGCAAACACGGAAAGATGCTCAACTCAGACATACTGAGTTTACAAAGCAGTTTATGGAAGAGTATGTCTAGCATGAAAAAAATGACGTGGAAGATAACTAGCTATTAGCATGGATAGATGTCATCTATATCTAGAGAGTCTAAAAGGACAATCATAAATTTTAAGCTTCCTCACTTCTCAATGATGGAGGTTAAGGACCTATTAATTCTTTTTTAAAAAAAAGATTTATTTATGCACATGCACACAAGAACTGGGGTACAGACCAGAGGTGCGGGAGGTGAGAGGGTTCACCAGAGACAGAGTGGGGAGCAGAACAGACAGACTGACTGAAATACACTGCTGAGGGGAGCAGCAGGTGAGACAGGAGAGGTCTGCTGCCCCATGTGGGTAGCTCCCTGGCTGGCTGGGGATTGAACTTATGCTACAAAGGCTGTGGATAGCTTCACAGTGCTGTGCTTAAACCCTTGCACCACCAGGGAGGCCCCTATTTACTTAATTCTTTCAATTTGTTCTGATTTGAATTGGTGATTAAAAAATTTTATTTCAGTAGCAATGAACACAAGTAGCCCCTGGATTATGGTAGTTTTTTTTAAATTTTATTTATTTTTGCATAGAACTGGGGTGCAGGCCAGAGGTGCACAGGAGGAGAGGTGAGAGGATTCACCAGAGACAGAGTGGGGAGTAGAACAGGCAGATCTACTGAGATACACTGCCAAGGGGAGCAGCCAGTGAGACAGGAGAGGTCTGCTGCACCATGTGGGTAGCTCCCTGGCCGGCCTGGGATCAAACTCAGGCTGTAGCTGTGATTGTGCTAAGATTTAACCCATAGGCCACCAAGGAGACCCCAAATTGTGCTTTCTAATACCACTTTTCAATAAAAGAAAACAGGGCGTTTTGGAGAAATGGCTAATCCTAGGGTAGGGAAGAGGGAATATACCAGATAATCTTGAAGCATGAAAGTAGAGAGTGCTCAAGAAATAAAAATGTGAGCCTCCCTGGCGGTGCAAAGGGTTGAGACGCAAACTATGAAGCTATGTGAAACCACTGAGGCACGGGTTCAATCCCCAGCAAGGGAGCTACCCACATGGCAAGGTAGACCTCTCCTGGCTTGCCCGCTGCTCCCCTCAGCAGTGTATTTCAGTCAATCTGCCTGTTCTGCTTCCCACTCTGTCTCTGGTAAATCCTCTTACCCCCCACACTTCTGGCCTGTACCCCAGCATAAATAAATAAATCTTTTTTAAAAAAGAGGAAAACGTTAATGAGATTTGGATTGAGTGACATTCAGCAAAATGTCTGACTGGTACTCTGAAGAACCCTCAAAGTTGTCAAAAACAAGGCAACAATAAGAAACTGGTACAGATCAGAAGAGTGTAGGAGATCGTGAATGTAATGTGATTTCCTCGTTGGGATCCTGTCAGAAAAAGGGCATCCGTGGAAAAATGGTTGAACTTCAAATAAAGCCTAGTGTACAGTTACTACTATTAATGTCAGTTTCCTCGTCTTCACAAACGTGCCATGGTGATGTCAGGGACTAACGTGAGAGGAACTTGGGTGAGGAATATAAGGAATCTTCTCCTAGCCTCATTTTGACTTATTTTGAAATCTGAAATTCTTCCAAAATGAAAGATGTTGAAATACATCATTTTTAATAATGGAATGGAGGAGCAAATTTTTTTAACCAAATGCATTAGAAACTCATTGCAACTCCCTGTCAAAGCCAGCTAAAAGTGAAAGTGCAGGGTCTCCCTGGTGCCACAGGGGTTAAGTCTCAGTGCTGTCACTAGCCACTGAGACCTGAGTTCGATCCCCGGCCAGGGAGGAGACCCACATGGTGGAGCAGACCTCTCCTGTCTCCCCACTTCTCCCCTCAGCAGTGTATTTCAGTCAGTCTGCCTGTTCTGTTCCCCACTCTCTCTGGTGAATCCCCTCACCCCCCTCCCCACCTCTGGCCTATATCCCAGTTCTGGTATGCACAAATAAATAAAAATAAATCTTAAAAAAAAAAAAAAGAAAAAGTGCAATAGCAATGGACAGAGACAGTCTTACTGAGAATGGGGTGCCGCGGGGGGGTTCTCAAGGTGCTGTCCACACTAAGCACCAGTGGCAGTGGGATGCACTGTGTTTTTACAGATCCTCTAGTGACTGGGATTCAGGCAAAAGTTTGATTCTTCTGCTGCCGTTCAGATCTAGCTTACCACCTGTTTTCTTGGTACAGCCTGTGAGCTGAAAATGGTTTTTACATTTTTAAATGACAGGGGAAAGTTTTTTAAAAGAGTAATATTTCATGATGTGAAAATTATATAAAATTCAAAGGTCAGTGTCCCCAAACAAAAGTTTCACTCATTTATGCATTGTCTGTGGTGTTTTGATGCTAAGATAGCAGAGCTGGGTAGTCACCACAGAGACCAGAGGA